ACAAAATTATATCTGCAGAGAATGTTCCTGGTTTAAACATGGCTTAGGGGTGTTAGCTGAGCTGTTCCAGTACCAGCTCTGTTTGCAGTGTAAGGTCTGGGTTCTTACAAGTTAGGCCATGCAGGTGTCGTACGGGGGTCTGTATCAGCAGCTCTTAGGCACAGACTTTCATATAAGGCCACCACATTTTAATGCAGGTAATTCCAGTTCCCTTCTCGTGAGTTTGGGTAGCTATTGAGATTTGCATGAATATATTAATTTCTTAGAATAATCTGCCACCCCACTCACATGCCAAATGGCTGTTTGTTACAAAAGTGAGAAGCAGGTGTTGCTTAAACCACCACATCAGGACAGATATTACTGGGGACAGTGGCAGGGGAAGAATGAAGCTGGAACCAGAATTCACAGAACGTGGTATGAACAGCTTTGAGCATTGCATCCTGACCACCACCAGCAGCACGCCTGGCTAGAGAGGAGATTCTTCTCTGTAGTAAAGATATGTGAGTAAAGATGAAATGAAGGCTTCGCTGAGATGCTGTTAATTAGTAACAAAGTGGGATGCCACTATGTATGCCTTCAACAGAGAGATAGGATCTAAGATGTGGAACGTGAGACTGTTGAAATACACCATCTTCTTGGAGACTAAAGTGCTTGAATTGTGGACAAACCGAGAAATAGACGTGTGAAGATCTCATTTCTTCTGTGTGGTGGGACCCCTCTCCCTTTTGAAGGCAAGCAGGTGTGTCCCCTTGTTCTGAAGACCACATGGGTGTCATTACCTGTCCAGCCATGGCATTTTACAGAGCAGTCTACAAGGACAACGTGATACCCCACGTGAACGAAGGCTTTTGCTGTCTGGACATGCCTATCAAATCCAGTTTGGCTGACTGTTGTACAGGCACAACAGGCTGTGTTGGGGGACATACCTGAGCTCTTGCCTCCCCACCTATGCAATGTGTAAACACAGCTACAAGTGATCAAGTAGCTAATTCAATCCTTACACATAAAGTCAAATGTGTTGTAATACTGAGGCCAGGCAGCTATTTCAGGATCACAACAGCTTTAAACAGAGGGTAAGACTGTAGCAGTAAGCTGGAGTAGACTGCTAGCGTGCATCTTAGTGTTCTAGTTCTGCTGCCATAGGAATGACAGACCTTTCTTTACTGTTGCTAACTAAAAGGGGGGGGGAAATGAATAGCAGCTAACCAAGTATTGGTGTCAGCTTTGTTAAACATCTAGAAAGAAGTGGAATTAACTAAGCTACTACAAGACAGTAGTCTAGCAACAATTAGCATGAACCTTGTTAAACATTTTAAGAACATTAATGAGCTCACCTAGAGACCTGAATTGTCATTTCATACCTGCTTCTTTTCCAGTGGGATCATTTTTTAATAGAAATAAAATGTGATAATAATAACCTCAAAGTGTCTTTTTAAGGGTAGAATATTGGATTTTATGACTTCTGAGGAAATGTATTGGCAATACTCTTTGGCTTTTGATTGCTGGTGAGAACACCAACACAATCTAACTTGGATAAGTATGAACTTGAATTCCAGGTTCCTGTGGGTTTTGTGGGATTGAACGCTTGCTTTTGTTCTCCCAGCCCTCCTTTTCCATTTCCCTTTCAGGACTGTTGAGATGATCCCATTTGTAGGATTTTCCAAAGACTAAATAAAAAAGGAATTTGAACAATGAGCCCAACTTTTAATTAAAGCCAGTTACTTAAAGTACCCAAAAATATTTTGTGACTTAATTTCCATTTACTTTGAGTATAGACTTTTAAAAAAGAAATCACAATATCGTTACAAAAACAGCTCTTGCAGCCAACGCTGACTATCTAGGGAGTTGTCTTGCCAAGACTGAGAGCTTCACTAGACCGTGTATGTTTGCATAATCAAAGTATTAACAAGACTGTATCCCATTCTGGAGCCATTTCCATGTAGTCTGCGGCTGCCACTGTTGTTTGTTCCCAGAAACTGTTGTCTTTTTTAATGTGTAAACTAGCTAATTTATTTTTACATTGCTTCTGTTGTGTTTTAGGGGGATTAGTTTTAACAAAACTCCCCTCCACATTTTTCAGTTTAGTGCTTCTGGAAGGGGGAGACTTGCCAAATACACAACTGACTGGCAAAAAATGAGCTTCTGTGTGTGGTCAGTTTCAAATGAAATATAAATGGTACAATGTTATAGTTAAAATATTTTAAAACTTCCAGTTACTCTTGAGAGTTTTCCCCCTCTTTATTCTTGAACAAATTAAACCTGATACATTTAACCCATGTTTTATGGGGAAAATGGGGCTCAGAGTCTGAGGAAAGTAAATTGGAAGTTTGAGCATGGAAGGAGCGATAGATACAAACCCTTGGCTCTTCCGTAAGTGAGCTGGAAGATGGGGGAAGCTTTTTAAAAGGTCAGTGCTGAACAGCAAACGGCTGACATGCTCAAATGTTTATCTTACAGCTCGCTCTGCTTCTTATATATGACCTGCAAGAAGTGTTCTTGCACTTCTGAGGTTTTTGTTTGTTTGTTATATAAAGTAGGTCTGTCTGAAAGTAGAATTCCTTTTTTTCTTTTTTTTCCTTCCTTTTTTTTTTAACTCTTACAAAACACAGCAGCACAGACTCCTATACTGCTGAGCTGTTCTTCGAGGACTCCTGCAAACTCAAGAGTCCTGCGATTCTCAGGAATTCATTACTTGCTCAGTCATCTCTTGTGTTTTCAGGATAACCAAAATTTGAATTGCTGTTCCTCCTAATACAGGGACAGAAATACCACCACACTTTTTAGAACAGCTGTTCTTATTTTATTCACAGGAAAGTGAAAAACCCTGCTATTTTCCTCCTCCCCTCCATACAGATTTTTCTTCTCCTTAATGAAACATAAGTACCTTTCTGAGCTGCAAACTAGGCAACAGCTCTGAAGGGTACACCTTCCAAAGCATTACTTATTGTGTGCAGTGTTAAGCAATACAGGAGAGAGACAGCGGTTAAACTTCTGCAGTAGGTTTTAGGTTGCTGTAGGCTGAATAAATTAATTACTTTATATCTCTGAAGCCAGTATTTTCCAAAGCTGTTAAACTAACAAGCCAGTTCTACAAGATGCAACTTGTCCTTGGGAAGGAATATGTTGGAAGATGTCTACAGAGCCCTCCTCTCATTAATGCCCGTCTGGGCCAGCTCACAGCAGCTTCAGCAGACTCCGTTAGCGTTGTGTGTGCATGATTCAGCTCTCCATTGCAAATTAAAAAGGGGCAATTATCCTAAATCTGGCCCGTTCCAAAGGAAACTTCAGGAACTTATTTTCTGTTTGGAATCTTCATGTATTAGGTGAAAGCAAAATGATAACTTGCACCTCTGACCCTTCTTGGATCTGTCACATGCATTTTGTCCAGCAACCTGCAGAGTCGGAGCCAAGCCATTTTCCCAGCGTCTCTCTTGGTGGGAGAGGCTTTGGACTGAGCCCTGGATTTCCAATCCTTTGACACAACTAACCCACCTTAGCAGACCTCACCTCAAGCAAGGGCTTAACTGACCTCCTCAGTGCAAAGGACCACTTGATCAGAAGAAAAAATTCTTGAGGAGCTCTGCTAAACAGCATCAGCCTGTGCTGCTGCCTCTGTAATTCAGTGTCTGTCTGTCTTTCTCTGCTAGAAGTCCCTGAGAAAACTACATCTCCCAGCGAATTCATCTGCAGAGCGTCTTTCAGCTCTTCTTCCCATGAGAGGTTTCAGGCAAAGCTCTGGACAACCCCTGACACCTTTTCTTCCTAGGAGAGCCTCTCCAGCACCGCAAGGTCTCTTGCCTGCCAGCCCCCCTGCTTGGCTGCCGTGCTCTGGCCTGAAACCTGCGTGTCTGGCATTGCTTTCCAAGTGTTTTTCAGGTTGTCCTTATGAGATCTATTGTGGTGTTTTCCTGTTTACTTCTGCAGCCCTGTGTTGTATTTAAGCAGTGTAGTTAAGTCAGGAAATTCTACAGCTAATAGACAGTAATTTCCCTTCGCTGACCCGGTTGCCTGTAGCGTTTTGTGAAATAGCTGCACTTCAGCACTTGGTGTGCTGCATCTGCGCTGCCTGTCGCAATCGCACAGTGTAACGTGAGCGGTTTTATCGCAGAAGGAGAGGCAAACCTTCCCTGCCTTTTTGTTAAACCATCCATGGAGGCCTGACGGGCAGGCTGCGGTGAGCCTTGCTGTGGCACTGCAAGGCATTGCCGTTGCTGCAGCCAGAGCCAAGAGGAGTGCATACTGTGCTCTCCTCCTCTGCCCGTGCCGGGAGCTGCTGCCCCGTCTCCCTCCTCACCTTCACCTTTGAGACTCCGCACTGACACACGTTGGGTCCTGATGCCTCCACTGCGAGAGGGTCACCTTTGGCAGAGGAGTGGGGCCGGGGAGCCGGGACGGTTTTGCTTTAAACTGGTGTGCTGAGGCTTGCCAAGGCTCGGTGGTGTGGTGGGAGGAGGATCTGGAAGGAAACATGACTGTGTACCCTGGGCTCTGACTGCCTCCACCTGCGGAGAAAATCAAATTGTTTTCATAGGAGTGTTGCCTGAAGACTTTGAGCCCCTCTTTTTGCTAACCCTTCACTGTGGCCAATACCCATTTTAAAAAACAAAAGGTGTAAATTTAACATTTCAAAACCTAACTGATATCCAGTATTCTACCCTTAAAAGCTTTGCACGATCAAGATTAGAATCATCAGTCCATCTCAATGGTTTTAATATGTGGTCGAGAAGTTACCCGTCTTACGCTGGCATCAAGTCACGTCATTCCCCATAATCTTTCTCTTGTTTTTTTTTAACCTTGTTGTTCATAATTTCCTTTCCAAGTGTTTCTTTATTTGAAATGCCATTTATATTTTGTTGCCTTTTTTTTTCCAGCACATCTTACATCTTTGTTTTTGTTTTGTTTTTAATCTTATTTCTGGCGTTTTCCATCGCTCTGTGGCCATGATTGTGGATGTGTTTTGGTTTTTGCCTGCCTTGCTGTTCTCTCGCTGCACTCCCTAGATCCCTGTTGCACAGTCCTCTGTCATGGATGACATTGAGGAGTGGCTCAGTACCGACTTGGTGAGACTCTTTATATTTTCATTTTTCACATGGGCAATAGCACTTGTATGGATAACATTCAATGCATTGCTGAGTTACTGGTACTTCTGGTAACGAGAGGCAGTGAAACTTCCAAATCGTACGGCTTATTTCCCTTTGAGGGGACTACCTGAGCAGGAGGAGATACGGTTGTGTTCAGCAATTCAATCAAAATGTTTTTTTCTGAGTTGTTTTATTTTCACTTCTCCATGTTAACATCACAAAATAGCATGCATAACAGAAATCGTGTGTTTCTGGTCCCCGTATAGGAAAGCATTTAAACATGTGCTGAAGTTTACCTGTGTTCTCCACTGGACTTGTTAAAGCACATGTGTAAGGCTGCGTTAGCTTTGACAGGATCTAAGTACGTGCTTACGTTGAGGCATGCTTTTAAGAGATGCTGGATCAGGACTTAGATTCCTTTCAAATCGAGAAGTCTTTGTTAAATTGGCATGCAATCTTGACATGTTTCATAATAGTAATAATAAAAATTTGTAACAGTCTCTCTTCAATGTTTATAACTTTCAGTTTCTCCTAAATGATTATTGTCTGGTAATTATTAAACAAACAAACAAAAGACAGAACTAAAAGTAGCTTTTCCGTCATTCTGGAGTTTGTTTTGCTGTACCAATACACATTTGGTTTAAGCAGTGGTACAGCTAGTTCCAGTCTCTTTTTTTAATGTAAGCATCTGACTCAAATTAACCAAGTGCATTTTGGGGATGGGTGGTGGGTTGCATTTGAGGCTGTTCTTTTAAACACGGTTTTAGTGAACTGAACTGTTTCCTTGTGGTCACCATATCCCTAAGGATCGTCTCCTTCCATTCTTCCAACTCCAGATATTGTCCCTAGATAACTCCCTATTCCTTAAGGTCTCCCCCAGCCCGTTGCTATTGCCTGCTCGGCTCCTAGCTGGGAGCTGCGGGGTTCAGGCTTCGCTCCCTGGCTCTGGCAGCAGTGCTGCAGGCATGCTCCGGCACATCAACCCTCTGCTCCAGCACCAGAGGAGCTGACTGTACTGAAAGGAAGAAAATGCTCCTGCTCTCCAAAGCCGCCTGAAGTGCTTAAACAGATTCAGGGTTTCAGTGTTCGAGTTTGGCAGACTGACTGGCTGTCTTTGAAATGTCACTGGTTTTCAGCTGCAGGTAGTTTTTTCAGGCCTCGGTACAGGCAGTCATTTTCAAATTAAATTACAAACTGGCCTCATTTTGTTAAAGAAATACAGTAAATGTAGCATGTCCACTCTGCTTAAACAATAAACTTTTGTCTTTGCCAGTTAAATTAATTTAGCAGGAGAGATCTTATGGAGAGATATCGAGGTAGCTCTGTACATCTGTCATCCCCTAGATAGCCTTACTCAAAAAGAGCAAAGCAGAGCAATGCTGTGTAAATGCCTGAACAAGCCTGGGGATCGCACACGCTGTGGCTGTGACTGTACCGGCTTCCCTTCTCCTGGGTACCTGGGTCCCCATCCTGACCGTATGTGGGTGCAGCATAGAAATGCCCTCTGAGAAAGTTTGGACTGGATTTTTGTTTTTCACTCTGTGTTCCCCCCCTCCTGTTTTTTGTTAATGGTTCATTTCAGTTCTCTGCTTCCCAGCTGAGGAAGTTACAGATTAGATTAGCTAATCGTTATCTATTTCCTTGCCCTTTTGGGGGTACATTGGAACAAACAGTACCTCTGTACGTGAAGCAGTGGCTGCTGCATGTACCTTTGGAAACCTCTGTGCAGTAGAAAGCTAGCAGATGCCAGGTGGCATTTAATTCTCAGGCATTAAACACCTTTGTGAGGCCAATCAGTATGTTTCTGCTCTCCTGGTGGAGAAGCCAGGGCATGGACAAATACTTTTATTTTCAAAGCAGGTTCAACATGAGGTTTTCAAGTAGTGTTTTCATCCGTTTTTAACATCCTGATAGATTGACAAGGATGCCACATCCTTGGGCTTCATTTAATTTCCTTATTGAAGAACTGTTGGAAATTTGCATGTTGAAATGCACACAGCTGGTAGAAATGCACTGACCCCCTGGTATCACAGTCTTTGTATTTCACAGACAGACACTAACTGCCCATCAATATCCTTCATCCAGCCCACACTAGTCTTGTCTTTGTACAGCATGGATTCCAGGAAAACTGCTATATTTTTGTATGAAAATGGAGGAACGTTGGCCCCAAACTATTTTGCAGCATGTGTCCTTTGTCAGCTAAAAGTGCATTTTATTTGAAGACACAATGCAAACGGCAGTCCTGACTTTTTAAAGGACTGTGTGACAAAAGATGTCATCTTGTACAGTGTTTGTGTGACTCACGCAGCTCAGTTTTTGACGAGGCCTACTGTCTGAAGTGGAAATAGCGCTGGACTGCCATTCAGGTCCAACAGGGAAAGTTTAGCTATCCACCAACAATCTTCAAAAGCATCTCTAGTGCTCATCGTCTTGCTCTGCAGCGCAGTGAAATGTCAGTCACCATTGGCCTCCCGATGTGGGAGCTGTGCTATTTCCCCAGGTCGCCCTGTTCAAATAGTTAGCATGTAGAAACAAGTGGTGAAAACTGTCCAGTTGCATTAAATGTGTGTAGAGGATAATAGTGAAGGTGAAGCGCTGCCTGTGTGTTCACATGCCTTTTTGTTCCAATTGCAGAAAGGAGACGAACTGGAAGAAGGAGTGACCAGTGAAGGTAAGCAGAGATGCCTGTGGCTATGAGCCGTTCCCAGGTTAGTGCGCAGACTGAATTATCTGCTTTGATCCCTGCTGAGATGCTGACTTCTCCCAGCCTGATGTTCCCCAGCAAATGCTTCTGCAGTCAGAAAGGCAGGAGGAGAGCATTTCAGAGCAAAAACTTAGTATTTATGGTGTGAGGAGCCCTGCCAGCTGTAAGTGCTTTCCTGCCATCTTCCTTGGCGGGGCACTGTGTTTGTGCCAGCAGAAATGCATCCCTGAGCTGCTCAGCCCTTTGGAATGATGTTTCCCTGCTTCTGTCGCAGCCGATGGCATAGCATGGGTTTGATTCCCTCCGCTGCTTGAGCTAGGGTGTCTCGAAGGACGTCTGTACCCTTTCCTGAGGAAGTCAGGCTGTACAAGTATGTGTGCCTGCGAACACAGCCCGACAGGACACCAGGCGCTGGAATTTCAGACCCTGCTAACCTCTGTCCCCAGAGCTAAACGTACAGCTCCAGTTCTTACCTGTCTTCCTTCTTTTTTTGCATTGCAGAATTTGACAAATTTTTAGAAGAGCGAGCCAAAGCGGCGGAGATGGTTCCCAATCTGCCATCCCCTCCCCTGGAAGCCCCTACCCCTCCGACAAATCCTTCCAGCAGGAAAAAGCAAGAGCGCTCGGAGGATGCCCTCTTTGCACTGTGAAGATTGCTCTTAGCCGCCCTCCCACCCCCATGCTCTGCAGGCGAATGTCACTGTACGGCCACTTTGTGCTCCCACAGTACTTGGCTAACAACCACCCCCTTCCCCCCGATTTCATAGATTGCTTCTCCTTCCCAACGCTCCCCAAACAATCCACCCCCACAAGCTGACTCTTTCTATTTAAGTCCAACGCTATTCCTGCCAGACCACGATTCTCCAGCACTCGCTTAATCCCCTCCTTCCTATCCCAGCTGCACAAAACCAGCTCTTGATGCTGAAAACCCCTTTAGAATGCATGAGTACGTCACACTGTGTTGAAACAAAAGCCCAGAGGGGAGAGAGCAGCCTTGCCCTTCAATTTATGTAGGGATCATCCTCTTCTGTAGGCAGGTCCTGCCAAGTAGACTGCTCTGTCGATCAGCATGTAATTGACTGAGCTGGAATGTTCAGGAGGAGTGTGTCTTTATTTTTAGATAAAATGTTAATGTATTGGCTTTCGTGTCGGATTCGACAGCAAGGAACAACTGTTCCCCTTTCAACATGTGCTTCACAAGTTAAAATCCTTTACTCTCCCACTCACACATCTCCCGGTACCATATGGTGGTCGCTTTTCCCCACTTTGTGCAGCGCTTCATATTCTAAATCTCACAGGGTATTTTTTTCCTTGTGTTTTATCTGGGCTTGCTCTAATTTGAAAGCAGTCTGTTGGCCATGTCCAGTAGCTCTGGCAGTTGATGAGAATGAAAAACGCTGAGCTAAATGGATGCTGTAATGTTAGCGCATGAAGCATTTTGCTCTTTGGGAGAGCATTCTCACATGAGGACTTTTTCTAGGGTGTTTGCCTTTTAAAATAGCTAGGTTATTTTTTCCTTACCTTAGATTCCTTCTTCAGTGACTGTAGAGCTCTGCATTTGTCTCAGCTGTCATAAATAACATCCATGCAGATGGATGGGACTTACTCATGGACTGGGCGTGAACTGAGGTTCCTGGATTCCCTGCCATGCCTGGTAGGATAGATGTGCTGGTTCTTGGTGGTATGAGAAAAAGAGGCAAACCTCACAGAGGCTTGTACGAAAATGCTGAGGGAGATGGTTACCGTGGAGAGATTAGCCATGCCTGCCTGTGCTGGAGGTGAAACTCCTCATTTCCTTCTAGGTTTGGGCCTGAGAAAGTGTTGGATGATTGTGGCTGTGCTATTTGTAATTTCTGGAGTGTCCTTTGATACCTCAGCGCCTTTATTACCTCCCAGCTCCTACAGGGCTGCAGTCTCCCTCTTGTCTGTGCAAACAAGCATATTCCCTTGCTTGCCAGAGGCACGGCTGAGAGTGCTGCTCTTGCTGGAGCTGCCAGAAGGGATTCCAGCATGTGTGCTTGCCTCGCTGGGCTGACAGGCAGAGCTGGAGCAGGCAGCTCCAGCCATCGCTGCATCCCCCAGCATGTTCCTTGGTAGGGAGCCAGTGGCGCAAGATGGCAGGATCAAAGAGAGAGCTGAACGCTGTGTGGCAGGGAGAATCTCCTGTCCTGACAGAGAGGCACTTTATCAGATGAACGCCCGTGCAGGCAGCGCTCTGTTCAGCAGCGCTCCAGCCCCTCTTCCTCGGGGCACTCGTTGTCTTAGGCAACCAGCCACTTTGTTCTGACTTGGCATGTCTGAGCTTCCCGGGATGCTGATGTGTGTCAAGCTCTCTCAGAATTTGTTCTAGACCAAGAAGCTGTGCTATAAACAGCTGATGTGAAAGCGATAGAAGCTTTTATCTGAGCATAGTTATTTCAGCTCATAACATACTCTCTAGGGTACGCCATGCTTTGGTAGGTTATGACACATAAAACCTTTTACGAAATGGCCCGGTTGCAGCACTGATGGTCTTTGAGAGCGGTCACATTCATCTTCGGAGATAAGCATTGTTTGGTGCAGGATTTCCAGGCTGTCCCAGGTCAGATGTTGCTCTGTGCTGTCCCTTCTCATCCTCTCCTCTGTCCTGCCCTGCCTGCATCCTCTTCCAGGATCCCTCCGTATGTAGCTGGGCCCAGGCAAGGCTGCCCTGCCACCCCCCCATGCTGACTTGACACCTCGTCACTGCTCCGTAGCTCACTGCTCCCTGTCAGCTCTGCGCTGTGCAGAAAGTATCATGGCTTGCAAGTGGATGGGGAAAATCAGCGTAAGGATGGAGATAGCTTGGGGATCAAGCTGCCTCTTCTCCCTACTTGCTGGCTCTCTCCCCAGTTGAAGCCCTTCTGTGTGGGCTTGCAGAGGGTTTCTCTCCATTTCATCTTCTCTGTGGCCAATGGAAAGTGCCGGGACAGTCTGCCTTGGTTGCACGTATGCACTGCTGCTCTCACCCACTGCTTTTGCTGATTAACACAAGATGAGCCCAATGTTCAGATACTGGCTGCCAGACGCCCCACTGCCAGCTCCTGCCAGACCCTGCCTTTCTGAAACACGTCAGATGTGGCCACAAGCTCCCAAAAAACTGAGGAAACTTGTGTTATGACGCTGATTTGATTTCAGACAGTGTCTGATGATTGCCTGAGCAGTCTTGCTAGAACAGAATGAATTGCTCATATTCCTGTCGATGCAAAAAGCTCCGTGGGTGTTTTTAGTGTGTATTTTCTCTTCTAAATCCTTGAAACACATTGACCCTGTAAATGGCCACATCAGGTGATTCTAAGCATGCTAATCCAGCTTCCCTGCCAAGCCAGAGGAGATAATCGCATTGCTCAAGCATGGGGACATTGTCAAATGATGCTGAGTGGCAAGGATATCACCAGCACTGTCACCAGAGCCCCCGTGCATGCTGGCCCTTCTTCTCCCACCCCTAAGCAAAAAGGGCAGGGGGTGTGTGTGCTGTTAATGCTTCTTCTTTCTGTCATGCTAAATCTGTCCTGGGACTTGCAAGTTGTTGTTGCTTTGGAGAGAATCTGGTCCCTTTCTGGAAGATCTTGCAGAGCTGTCAGCGACTGCTCCCTCTGACCGGGGAGGAAAAGAGATGAAACAAGAAGGCTGGGGCTGAGGGGAGATAAGGAGCGTGTGTTGGCACAACTCAAGGGACTCTCTTCTGTGCTTGCAACCTCAGGCACTCCGTGATCCCCACTGACACCCCACGTTATCCGCTGGAAAGCAAGGGCAGTGTTTGCAGGGGGTGGCAGGTGCCATTGGCACAAGCAGTGGCTTTGCTGGAAGTAGGGCAGCACTCAGGAGATGCCTTCCTTGGGAGGTGTGTGCTTAGCCTGTGGCAATGGCTAAATGTCCTTTTGGTGGGACCCTCGATGGGTCTGGTAAAAGGGCAGCCATGCCATGAGTTAAATTTGGAGCCTGAATCCACCAGACCTGGCTCTCGCAGGCTGAGCATGTGGGGGCTGGAAGCACTGAAGGGGACAGAGCGTGCAGCAGAACGGATGGTTTAGCCCAAACCTTCTTTAACAAATATAAGAGCTATGCTAGAGCTTCCCTAATGTCCTGTATCAGGATCTCTCATCTTCCCCGTCCTCTTGTGGTCTGCAGAAAACCTGAGCGGTGGAAACTGAGGGAAAGGGAAGGGGTTTTTCACTTCAGAAGACTGACCTCTCGATTTATTCTTTCTTCGCTTTCACTCTAAGTGCTTCCTCTGTGCAAGTGGGCAGAGGACTTGCGTGGCTCCGACACTTGTGAGAAGAGAGACGGAGCTGCAGCCTGATCCACTTTCCATAAGAAATAACATCCCAAGGCTTTCTAGGCATATTAGGAATCGCAGCTTGACACTCGATGACACTAAATTATTATTGGGGTCCTTTGTAAGTTCTAATCATACCCTGTTCTAGGTTAAAATATTTATTTTGTCAATATATTCTCTTTCCAGTGTGTTTTTTAACATCTTCTGTTAACTCTTCATGTGCTGAGATGTAAGAAATGAATGGTTTCTATTTAAATATATCCTTTTGAGTTTTTTAATTGTTATGTGTAGATTTCAGCTGCATCTTTGGCAGGTGTAATAGAAAACAATGTACTGTACAGACATTTAGGGTGTTTAGTATGTAGGTAAGGCTCATAGGAGAATTGCTCATAAAAACGTAGCATGGTGTCTCTTAAAGGGAACAGCATAAATGCAGAGACTGGTCCTTACCAGGACCCTCACGTAGCCTCCAACATACCTTTCCCCTTCGATTATCACAGTCTCCATCTCTGAAATGTGCTGATCAAATCAGTTCTGCCATTTCCAGGGCTGTTTTTACACCTCCAAGCTGAAGAAGGATTTTAGTGGGGGTTTCCATTCATTTGACTTCCTTCGGCTTTTTTTTTGTCGAACACATTGGCTGTTTCCACTTTTAAATGGAGGACTCGGCAGAGCTGGCCGTGGTGGCGAGATGTTTCCCTCCAGTGGTGGAAGAACAGATCCGGGCAGTGGTTTCAGACCCAGGGCAGGGGTGATGGTCCCCCTCCGTAAGGTGCCGCAGGAGCTGGGCCCACACTACCCCGGCACCCCGGCCAACACAGCCTGTTCTTCCCCATTCAATGCTCTCCTGCTTTCACCCATGAGGACAGGACATGCAGACCAGGAGAGCAAACACAGCAGCATTTTCAACAGTCTCTTTCGTCCAATGAGTTGTCAGGTCTCTTGCGGCTGCTGGGAGTCCTGTGGAGTGGGAACTGCTTGTGCTATCTCCATCCCCAGGCCAGGCTCATCCAGCTCAGTCATTGTTTACCTCCTAAATGCTAACCGCAAGGCTTGCGGAGCCTACCCTGGAAAAAAACAGCTCAGGACAGTTATTTTTATGGAAATAATGAAGCAGGCAATCAGTGAGTGGATTTATAGCCACCTTGGAGGTAACCCTTCAGCTGCTGGGGGCACCCACCCGCCCCTGCGCACCAGCAGAGGAGAGGAGGCAGGAATCCCCTTGCCAGGTGGCCAGAGGCGTTGCTGGTGCCCACGCAGCACCTTCCACTCATCCCTCCGGAGCGGGCTGCGCCTGCGTGCTCCGTCCCCAGGCTGCCAGCCCCAGCCTCCCTGCACCGTGCCCCAGGCGCTGGCAGCAGGTTGCTCCTCCATCCAGGAGAGAGGCGAGGTTGCATTTCACTGAGAGCTGACTGACACCGCCGAGCTCCGGTGCTGGTTCTCTTTAGCCCACGGCAAACCTACGCCAAACTTCCCACCCTGCTCTGTGTTTTTATGAGTACGAGCTCCTCATTCTGTACATGTTATTATGAGCTACTGTTAACCCTACAAATGTAACCTGTGTAATAGCTTCTCTGTATATTACAGCTGTAGGCTTTCCAGATAAAAGTGGATAATATTTATTTACTGAAGATATTGGATATTTTTTTGTTTGGGAACGGGGTAGGGGGAGAAGGGGGACATAACTGTTTAAAGAGATTGACTATGTAAAGAGAAACAAAATACACAAAAAGCATAGAAACCCAACACTAAAATGTTGCTGTATTCAGGTAGAAAGTGTTTACGTTAAGGACGATACAACTGTATTAATCTGCCATTGTTTAACTTGCTCCAGAAATCATCTCTACTTTGGTTCCTGCATGTGAGATACTCCAATAAATACACTACTAGTGTGACCTGGAGGATGGTATCCGTCTGTCTCTCAGGTGGTGTCTCACTCTGCTTCGCTGCCCAGCCTGAACACATGGTACGAGTGAGCGTGGGAGACATGCACCGTCTGCAGCTGCCGTTGGGTGCCTGTCAGATATCAGAACACGACGCGGGCTTTTGGGAATCCTCGGTGTCCTCCAGATAACAGAGGCCCGGGTATTCTCACTGGGAGAAGGGTTATCCCCAGCAGAAGATGCTTTTTGTGTCTT